TAGTTTGAACCTGTTGCAAGTTCATTGGTTAATAAGGTAGCAGCTAACCCTATAAAAGGGTTACTGCTGCCCATAGCTTTGCTCTGTTCCATTCTGATTCCTGTTATTATTAAAGAGTTGAAGTCACTGGTCAGATGTCTGGTCTCCTTATTCTCCAAACATAACAGGTATTTTCCCACGTCATTGTAGTTGTGCTTTTAAAGTTGTAGCAACGTTTTGGCAGAATCTCATCTGCCATCATCAGGCTTTTTTATTGTGTTCGTCTGTGAGTCAGACTTTTACAGTGGTTTCAGATTTAAATTTGGGGCTAGCCTATTGATGTGCCAGAATGGTTTTTTCTTCATCCTGATTGGTTGGGAATCTTGGTCTGTGTTTATTGGTCTTGGAGTTTGTTGCGTTCTGCTTGATTGGTGTTTGTAATATCTTCTGTCTGTTTTGTGGCTCTTTTTGTATCTTGATTGGCTGGCAACATTGTGTTCCTTTATTGGAGGCCTTTAGTGCAGCTTGGCTCGGGGTAAATGGACAGCTATCATTTGTTAGGAAGCTAGGTTTCATCTGGGTGCCTGGTTGGGGTGTGTTTGAGCTGGAGGTATCAGGGGGGATCTGTTTGTGCCCAGGTGTTTGCCTGGCTAGTGGTGTGGCCATTCAATATATATATATTGAATAAAGTTTATTTTAAAATTAACAAGAAAAAAGAAATGAAGACAAATGGCTTACCACTTTGGCATCTATAGCTATATGTGCAAATCCTTTACGTTTTCTCCATATTATTTTATACAGGTTATTTCCATAGTTTTGCTCTCGTAGTCCTCCTGGTGCAATTCCAAGTAAGTGCCCTTGTTTCAGAATGTTTATACACCTTTCTCTTGTAGAACAATCACAGTGATGAACAGAAATGAATTGTTTTAGTCCTGCAAAAGCAGACCTAAGAAATAATTCTGTTCTTGCATAAAAGAAAACAGAATACATGTATTTCCATTATGACATAACTCAAAACAAGACTTTGAAGAAGAAAAATTGGACTTCACAAGTTAGTGAATCAATTTTATTAACCCTTCCCCACCAAAAAACCCTAAACATAATAATTTTTTTACCTGGTAAAAGTGAGAAAATATTATCTATCACAGAATAGCAGTGTTTCCCAGTGAGTCTATACAATCTTGCTACAAAACAGTGATAGTCAATTGGAAAGGCTCCATGATAATAGACAAGAATCGCTGGTCCTTTGGATAAATTTTCTAATCCAGAAATCTCATAACCTGTTAATGGGAGAACATTGAAATGGCTTCAGTTTTTTCCCCACAAGAGTTTCCTATAGAAGATCACAGAAAAATGGCATATTTTTTGTTATCAAACTAAAAAGTTTAAATCAAATGTGCTTTTTGGAACTATCATATTGATCATCAAAATAAAAGAAAATGAAAAAAAATAGAACCTTCTGAGAAATCAGTGTTTCTGCTTTTGTGATCCCGCACCTTCGGTCTAGTTTCCTATAAGTTACTTAGATTCATGTTACTTAGTGATATCAAACCTTTCCCACAAGTATCTATGTGTTCAGAGATTTTATCCATTCTAAAACCTCATTTTTAAAAAGACAGTTTTGACGCTCTGTTGACACTTTCCCAAATTCTTACAAACATATAGAATGTATGGGCCTCAGATATTGTAGCTTCTTCCAGCTTTAATCCAAAGGTATAGTTAATGGTAATGTTTAACCGACTAAGTACAATTTTGGGGGGGAAAGTTTAAATTAAAACAGCACATTTGGAGTTTAATATTAAGGGTTAGGATATTAGGATATTAAGGCACAGGAAAAATGTACATGGTAGAGGCAAGGATTAGCAGAAATATTCCTGATATAATCTGTTACTGTCAGACTTCTAGTTATTGGGCTTTGCCTATGAAATAAAATTCCAATTATTTTAATTGTCCAAAAGACAAGAACTACAGAATACTAAGTTGGATGTCTATTTTGTGCCAGGCCAAAACCAGGACAAATTATGTCTTAGCATAAAATGTAAAGCCAATGTGCTTCTAAGCAACTGAAACCTTAGAACAAAAGATAGTACAGGTAGTCATCTTCTTGTGACTATAATAGGAGAAACCATATGACCGCTTCATTCAATGACTGCTTTCCAAGTTACAGTCATTCAACAGAGCACTGGGGAGAAGGCCAGGTCTTTCTGGGGTTGCTACGCCAGTGAGGAGAGGCACATGCCTTCCCCTATACAAGGGAGATCCAGGGCCTGTTCCCTGCCCCACTAGGGAGAACATTCGCTAGTGTTTTTGCTAGAAGTGAGGTCATGTTCCTCCAATGTGCTAAATAATTTCTTCTTGGATTTTTTTTTACTTTTCCTAAGATGATGATATATTGTTTTTTATTTTTCTAATTCTGAATTTTTAGGAATATAATGATATGAAGATGTATATACCTAAATATTTCTGGTATTTTATGGTTAGGTAGCTCAGTGGCTAAGACACTGAGCTTGTCGATCAGAAAGATCGGCAGTTCGGTGGTTCGAATCTCTAGCACTGCATAATGGAGTGAGCTCCTGTTACTTGTCCCAGCTTCTGCCAAGCTAGCAGTTCGAAAGCATGTAAAAATGCAAGAAAAATAAGGACCACTTTGGTGGGAAAGTAACAGCGTTCCGTGTGCCTTTGGCATTTAGTCTTGCCAGCCACTTGACCACAGAGACGTCTTTGGACAGCGCTGGCTCTTTGGCTTTGTAACAGAAATAAGCACCACCTCCCTAGAGCTGGAAATGACTAGCACGTATGTGCGAGGAGAACCTTTATCTTTTACCTTACAGTACACATAAGGTTTATCTTATTATTATTATTATTTTAAAATTATGCATGTATGAGACTAAAGATGAAAAAGGCACATGCAGTGTGGACAAAAAGCCAGGAATCATGTCTTCTAGATTATAGAATCATAGAATCATAGTGATAGAAGAGACCTCGAAGTTCTTCTACTCCAATCCCTATTCTACTCCAATCCCTTTTCTACTCCAACCCCCTGGCCAAAGTATGAAACATCTCAGTCAAATGATTTACCTGTTTATTTTTGAAAACCACCAGGAAGTAGATAAGAAGGAACTAAGTTTTTAAGGAAACAAATACAAAAATGTCACCGGAATCAGACAAAAGAAGTTGGGTTGAGCACATGGAAAACCTTTCCCAAATCCCAGCAATAGCTATCAGATTTGAAAATCAACAGGACAAAAATAGCTGCTAGTCCTGAAAATCAACAAACCAAACACTTTGGGGGATGAAAGGGGTCCTAAGGCCTATGCATTCTTGAATTAAGTTTGGATCTATAATTGGTGGCTGCCATCCCTCTGACTAATACCTGGCAGCCTAGTTGAGAAGGATGTGACAAATGTGGATAAGTATCTGCATGCATGTGAGAAAGTGAAAATGTACATTACAAAACCAGTAAAGTTTTTCTCTTACTTTAAATTCTTCAGGTCTCTGCAAATTCCAAAGAACCAGCTGTAACCCAGTGTTTGGTTAAAAATGATTTAAGTATGGCTATTGACCTGGGCTGTGAGTGTGTGAAGTGATTGACCATAAGCAAACTTGATATTGTGTGTAATATCTGCAGTTATTCTCTTAAATTGAGGTTAAGACAGCTCCTTCATTCAGTTCTGCAGCCTTAGAGATTAAGGGAGTTTCTGGACAAATTGCAGAAGCATTTTTAAAAAGCAAATTATATATAAATTGGCAGGATGCAGCCTCAGTTTTCCCTTTATTTTCTACTATATTCTGATGAGGTTCCAAGATACAAATGACTGCAGATAAGGATTGGCCCCAAGAATTGATGTCTATGAGTGAAAATAAATTCCTTATCTCTGCCTTAAAGAATTAATGAAGAACATTTTACTTACTGTGTAGTATCTTTCCATACAAATCTGTTATCAGTGAGTAAATTTTCCTTGGCACATCCCATTGTTTGCTATTTGTATCTTCTGGCAAATTACCAATTTTTTTCCACACATAATATATTAGACTAGTGGTATAGAACCAAGAAAATGCAAAAATAAGTGGATAATATAACAGTATCACTATCATTAAAACTGTTATGGGATATACCATAAAGCCTGCACATTCTTCCAAAATGTAAGTTGGCCAGATGGAATATTCTTTTCCAGGGGTATAATATATATTTTCTGTACTCATGTTTAAACTCAGACTACATGAATAAAGTCCAAAAATTCTTCCTTCCTGAAAAAAAATACAAATATGCTTTAATATAATTACTATTTGCAATATTGAGCTTTTAGAGAACAGCAGAATATCAGAATGAATACATTGTAATGACACTTTCAAATAGCCTTATGGAAAAGATTGGGCTGAGAGATGGTAAAAGAAATCAAAACTTAGTACAATCAATTGTACAACAATACTATTGATTCTTTTAATGAAATATTACTGGTGTAGTTAGAGGCTCTGATTAATCTTGTTTTTTTT